ACTGTACACGTCACAGTTTCTTTGGTTTCATAAATATATAATTCATCAAACACCAAAATATGAAGGTTCCGTTATTTCAACGAACAAATTTTCATGGAACGGACCGCTGGACAGCCCTGAGCGAAACCCCAGCTATAAATAGAACCCCATTACAGTGCATAAATAAATTTTTGTAATGGGCGTTGCATTAAATTATACAATAATGTGTGGTAGTTCGATTCGAAATGAAAAACTGAAATTAATAAGCCATTAGCCATTACGGGAAGCATTTAATCAACCTAACCGAAAAATTCTAAAAAAGTTCTTCTGATTTTCGTTTTAAGAAAACCTACATCAAAAAACCTACACTAAAAATTTCTAAGAAAAAGTGTTGCTGCCCCGCATATATACGAAACGTAACATTAGATTAAAAAATTCGCAGTTATGTGTCGAAAGCATAGCAACCATTTTAACAGCTTTTTTTAAGCTAGCTCTCAGATATCGTTAACGCCCTTATTCGTTGATATGCGTTTTTGATAGGCGTAAGAACGAGTTGGAATAATGTTCTCAGTTTTCAAGAAATCAAAATGCATGCAAGAGGATGCAAAAGCTTACTCCCGAAAGCGCTCTGAGCGTGTTGTACTTAACATCGTCACAACCTGCAGTAGTAACCTTCTTTCTTAAATGTAAAACATACAATGAAAAGGGTGTATTGCTGAGACTACTAAAAGGAATTGAAGGTATTGTAATCGGATTGACAATTGGAATGTAGCTCTTGAGCATATCCAAGTATCTTTTATTATCATGGTCATTCCACACAGCACAACCGCTTAATTTTCGACTGAAATGTCGATGACCATTGATGTAATTCCAGAAAAAACGTGGGTTGCCATTACCACATAACACTTTAACCGTGATAGCTCTATGTGTTCTTTCCGCTTTTCTAACTGCAGACCTCCATTCTTTCAGTCTTTCAGTGTGAAGGTGACCGGATTAGCAACCATTCCGGTTACACTGAAAGGTAGTACTGCCATTACTTAAGACATCAAAACTGCTGGAATTATGGCATTTGAAAGGATCTTGCCTTTGTTGATCGAGACTTGATCGCCATACAAGCAATGTCTTGGATTGAAATCTCCAGCTAGAATCACATTGTGTTCGCCGTCAAGAAAGTCACATAATCTCTGAATCTCATCACGGAAGGTTTGTACATCGAAACTGGGTGGAAAGTCGCATGATGCTATGAAAAGATTCGAGTTAAAATTCATGGTTTTGATGATGATAATGTCAACAGTTGTAGGAAATGCGTTTGAACTTGACACGTTTCTTAACTAATATACTAACACCACCGCTCAAGCATATTCGAAACTTTAACATCGAAAAAATTTTCTTTCTTCAGAAAAACTTCGCTTAGGATGCAAAAATCAACCTTATTTGAGTTCAAGCAAAAATCCAAAAAAGGCAGATTACGTTGAACACTTTAGATATTGTACTATAAAAACATCACATTGTAAGGAAGCGTTCTGCTTCCTTACTAATTACCACGTAAATCAATTAATACTAAGTAGATATGCGTTTCCTATGCTTATCGGCAAGGCGTTTTCGGGTCCCTAGGTCTGAGAGGGTTAATATAGAAGTAATGAATTCACATACCTAACGGTCACCAAATCATGCGATTAGTACCTAGATCAGCAATGACAGTGAAACGAACAGAAGAATGGACACACGCACGAGCATAAAATATGTATAGAATCTGTACAAAACCTGTAGAAAATCATTATAATATATGAACACCCACACGAGTATAAAATATGTATAGAAGGGTCAAAATGTATAAAATCTGTATCATTACAATATATGAACACACATACAAGTATAGGAATTGCTACAACTGTATAAACATACGCGGGCATAGAAATCTTTAGAAAAATGTACATACGCTGTTAGGCCATGCAAAACATATACACAGGGATAAACACTTAGATATAAAAATGTATGAGCACATACGATCAAGTGACAACGCATCCACTGTATAAACGAGCAGCTGAAAATGTATGAAAAGGTATAAAAATGCATAGGCCATGTAAAATGTATAGAGATGTAGTATCACACATGCCAAATATATAAACACACACGTATAAACATGTCTAAACATTCATAAACAGGAAAATACACTTACTCTACCTAAATGGTATAACACTATAGAAATGTATGCGAAGTATTGTAGACATAGGTTAAGACACGTAAAGAGAAAGAAAACCTGTGTCGAAGAACGATATTGGAAACTTAGCACTCACACACCTAACCATGAATGAATCACGCGATTTGGTACCTGGGTGCATGTTGAGTAGGCATTTGATCAAATATAGCAATAAGATAGACGTAAGTTGGCATTAACTTATGTATAAGTATTTCATGCATGTCGTAACTAAGGTAATGCATATGTAAACGCATACAGCCTAGAACATGTTTGTGAGGGAACAAGCAAGCGAGACTGCAGCTATGAAAGCGCGACTCATCACACGGAATCTTTCAATTGTGTCATAGCCGCCTAAGGTAACTGTACAATTTGACAAGTTGACCTTTATGAATAGTTTTTTTTTTTTGACTTTACGGATAGGGGATGTGCTGGCTTAGCTGTTAGGCGCCATCCCTGAAGGACTTTTAGGACTACTGACTTTACGGATAGGGGATGTGCTGGCTTAGCTCGCCATCCCTGAAGGACTTTTAGGACTACTGACTTCACGGATAGGGGGTGTGTTGGCTTAGCTGTAAGTCGCCACCCCTGGAAGACTGAGGGCCATTTTTTTTTTATTACTGTACATACGAGTAGCCAACCAGAGACAAACCATGGGACCAGGGGGCCTATGCAGCTACGACACGAGCAACGTATCGGTTTTTCTTGCAGTAATTCGCGATAGTGCGAGTAAAACCTCTAGCCACGTGTGCATCAAACCGGTCATAAACGCTTCAGTTGACCCACAACCGCCTAAGTAATCCGCGATAGTTCGAGAAAAGAAAAAAATCTCAAGCCACGAGTGCGTCAAATCGTTCGTCGGGTCACCTCGCTGGTTCCTTGCCAACCCTCTACAAAACCACTTGTAATCTCGCATACCAATCAGAGAATATATAAGAACATCCCCGAAGGGCCGGAACATTTTGTTTCATATAAATTGTCTTGCAACGAACCTTGGAGTGGCTGAGTTTCTACCCTGCCCAAGAAGACTCGTTACAACATTTAAAGTTGAGAGGGAACTCCGGAAGATTTACTCGTAAAGCTGTGTGCTTGATCGAGGCGAGAATTGGCGCAGACTGACATTTTTTCTTCAAATTCTTTAATACGACTCTGAGGGATCGTCGGACGAAAACTTTATTTAATAGCAAAAATTAATATTTCAAGTTCTGAGGAACGCAAATAGTTGTTTGAAATTACTGGACGCCGAAGTCTTGTTACAAACGGCTTGGGGGTAAATTGAGAGAAGGTTCAGTGGATGAACTGAGAGGAGATTTGGAAAAAACCGATTTCCTTTCGACGAGAGCATTAATTTATTCTTAGTTAAAACTTTATTGGCATTTTCATTGTCGTCCTTACGCGAAACGGCAGATGCGTTCTCCAATGGAGGGAAATTGTCATCGTAGGAGATGTCGTTAAGACATTCGAAGTAGTTTGAGTAAAACCTCTCTTGTACTTCTTTATAGGATAGATTTTTAATGGCCATGATCTTATTAATGTTTAAGTCCAGTTCCCTGTTCGGGCAACATTTGTTGAGAGTGTTGTGATCACCTGAACCACAGGACAAGCACTTCATCTTGTCACAGTTCACACACTTCGTAGACATCCTACAGTTCAGGCATCTGCTCTCTTTAGCTTTACAGATTTTTGAAACGTGACCATATATACTGCACTTAAAATATTGCTTTAAGGTGGGCACAAAGTATTCCCCCGGCAGGTGGCAATAATTAAATTTGATTGACTTAGGGAAGCCGATTTTAATGCTGGTTGTGGGAATTCACTCATACTTTTTGTTGGGATTCTTTGAAAACGAACAGAGGATTTGATCTGAATATCGGACACGACGTTTTTAATTATCTCGTCTACACTGTATATACATGGGATGTTTCGAATGACTCCGAATCTCTCAGTGAACGACCTCAGTATATACGCCTTTAAATCGTTTTTAGTAAAATCGTTATTTGTGACAAAGTCGTTGGCATTAACAGCAGAGCTGAAGATCAATTTGGCTCTATCCCTGCCGACCACCTTTAGTTCTTGTAAGCCGTACATGGTGAAATCTGCAGGTAATCGTAAAAAAAGAGATCGGAATTGTTATTCATACGATTCCCTTCAGCGTTTGCACACATTTCGACAAAAACTACGAAATTGCCCTTCGATAAGTAGCCGTACAAATTGGTCTGGTGATTTGGCATGGCTGTGGCACCCAAATCAGAGGGCTTGTCGAGTGTCTACCAGGCACAACTGAAACATTTGCGTTAACCTCTCCATTGGGAGAGGTTCCTCGATCCTCGATCTTTTGGTGTGCCCACTGGCATGCATATAAAAATCTTCGAAACCGTCTCTGTCAGGAGTTATAAGATCAGACCCAGTCTCCGCAGGTAGATGGACTGAGGTTGTTTTGGCTATTGTAACGTGTACCACCAACCAAAAATCCGAACGAAAAAAATTTAATGTATATATTTCTTTTTAATCTTTTTTTTTCCTTTTCCTTCCTTTCCTCCTTCTCACCATTTAAATTTCAAAAAATATGGTTACTTTCTTAAACTTCCTTTTTCCTTTTTTTTTCTCTTGCCTGCTTTTCTTTTCCTTTTAAATTAATTAAATTCTCGTACATTTTTTTTTCTTATTTTCACTAACACCAGCAAAACACAAAAATTATCCAGCAGCTGTGTGCAAAGGGGACGTGTTGTATCAAGTGTGAATGAAATGTGAATGGAAGGCTTTGATCAAATAAATAATATTATATAACAAATCTAATCCCAACTTTACTAAAAAGTAAATAAAAAATTTGGTGTTCACAGTGGACGTTTTCTACATATCTCAGCGAATTGTCGAGTGTTGATTTCCTGAGTAGAATAAAAACAAGAAGAAAATATTAAAACTGAAATTCGCCTACCAACCAGGCAATGTGAATATTTGTTTGAAGAATCGGAAGCTTTAATTCGAATCAATCGTTTCATCATGTAATCTATGCTGTACTCAGGTCGATAATATGCCACGATAAATTTGTATCTTTATTCTTATATGTAATCTAAAATGTTTTCATAGACCACACGTTACGAATCCCATGAGGCTGCAATCGACACAAGATAGTAAAAGAAAAAAATTATGAGGATTTCATTTTATTATTAAATTTCACTTAATGAGAGATTTCAACAACACACCTCACTTAAGAGCTATTGAAAACATTTAATAAGCACAAATAGCCCAACTGTTACAGTGCATTATAGCGGATTTGGTATATCTCACTAACTAAACTAACTAAAACTACTGCGCAGAAGTTTCAATTTAAGGCAACGTTAAACATCACAGCAGCAAAACATTATTAAAACATTATTAATTACTGCTATTATTATTATTATATGTGTATTAAGTAAATAAAGCGTCATTGCTATTTTAACAGAGGCTTTCGTTTTAGTTTGACTTGACACATAAACGGCGAAATGGACAAGTGTTTACTTTGTTTGGAAACCGACTTGGAATTTGAGCCAAACATCAAGGTGGGCTCAACACAATGGGAAGAATTAAATATAAAGAATATTATAGAAAAACATTTATGGTCGATAGTAAGTATGTCAGTATATGTACGTGACAAGATCTAATCGAATTGAAAATCTTTTCGCATGTTAATTTCTACAGAATAATATTGAGTCCTACCAATGGATATGTCATACTTGTTGGAAAGAGTTACATGATTTTCATAAGTTCTACTCACGCCTAGAAATTGCTCGTGTAAGTCTACTTAAGGTTAATTCAGAAAATATAAAATTGGAGACATCGCGTAATGGATCACCCATTCCTCCGCCAGCAGAACGAACTGAGCAAATGGTCTCCGAAGCTAGAGAAATTGATAAAGCTTTGTTTGAAGATAGCTTAGAAACGGAAATGTTAATAAACCCATCAATACCCACTTGTGAATTAATTATTGAACAAAATAAATTACCTATTAATGAAACATTGTCGGATACTGAACCGATTGCGCAAAAGAAGCGTAGAGGTCGACCACGAAAGCAGGAAAATGCAGAGAGTTGCTCACAAAAAGTAAAAAAGAAAGTAAAAATATTAAAACGTCAAGCTGTAAAAAGAAATCAAAAGGATGTTTCTCTCTCCCGCACAATTGTTGGAAAAACAGTCAGCACATCTGATAAAATTATCGAGATAAAGCCAGAAATCAAGGAGGAACCTGAACTGTTAATAACGAATACAGAACCTAAATCAAACGTAGATGGACTGGAAAATGACAATTCCTTAGAAGCGTCTGAAACGCTAATAAATCCACTCTCTCCACCTTATCGATTACGAAATGAGAAGGAAATAAAATCTAAAGCACAGGAACCTATTCAAGAAGGCTCCGTTCTTCCGCGGAGACCAAGAGGACGGCCTCGTAAAAAAGAGATTAGAGAATTTTTGATAAATGAAATGAAACGAAGTAGTGCATTAAAGACGAAAGGAAATGGTAAGAATGACGATCTCACAGAGGGAACGGAACTATTGCCTGTTTCTGAAATAACAAAGAACGTTCCTGAACCTGAATTAAAGCTAACATATACATCGAAATTAGCTGTTCAATCGGAAAATTTAGAAAGAGAATTGGCTGATTACTCTAATATTGATTCTGACTCAATTTGTAGTCCAGCCAATGACGCCGTTTCTACGACACATAAAAAGAAGGGAAGAAAATGTGTTTCTAGTGGAAGCAAAAAATTGGAGCCAAATCAAATTGAACAATTTATAACCGACAACATAAAAATTATCTGCGCTGTGTGCGACGAACCCCAAGCAAATTTTAGTAAATTACAGCGCCACTCTCAAAAGCAACATCAAAAACGCGGTTATGTCTCATGTTGCGAAAAGAAATTCATTAAACGCGCTTTCCTTGTTGATCACATAAATCAACATCTTAATCCAAACCATTTCAAATGTGAACAATGCGGGAAGATAATGGGAAACCGACGATCAATGAAATCACACATAAGAATGCACGAGATTTATGATGGTAAACGGGAGAAGCAACATAAATGTCATATATGTGGTAAAGCTTTTGCTGCTCGAATAGTCATGAAAACTCACATGTTAATACATATCCCGCAAGACGAAAGAAAATTTCGATGTACGGAATGTGGGAAAAGGTAAAATTGCAACAAAAACGCATTGATTTAAAAAAAGGGGATTTCTTATGATCCTTCTCTCTTTCTTTCCAGTTATAGTAGTCAACTACTGCTTAATAATCATTTGCAAGGTGTACATCTGCACAAATATGCAAAAGTCTGCGAGATTTGCGGTAAAACGATACGATCAAGTATAGCCTTTGAACGTCACATGCGAGAACACACCGGCCAACCTCTGCCCGAAATTAATTGCGATATCTGTGGACTTAAACTGGCCAGTCCTCGGGGATTAAAACGTCACAAGATACGCCAACATCCACAGGGTGGAAAAAAAGGATTTGAATGTCCAATATGCCCAAAAGTGCCGCCGAATCTCAATGCTCTGAAAGAACATATAAAATATACTCATGAAACAGGATTTGATCATAAATGTACAATTTGCGGCAAAGGTTTCAAGCGATCAAGGTCCTTAGTAGTAAGCTCAAATAGTAAATTAATAAAATCGTTTATAATCTATATATGTATATCTTAAAGGAACATATGGCCACGCACACTGGAGACGTTCTCTACACTTGTACTTGGTGTCCAAAGACATTTAATTCCAATGCTAATATGCATGCGCACCGCAAAAAGACTCATCCCATAGAGTGGGCGGAGCATCATCGCAAAAAATATGTCAGCAACTTTCTGAATAATTGTGGTGCTACTTCAGGGACTACCGAATTACCAATGCAAGTATATTAATAAATTTAAATTTAGATATCGTAGTTTTCGTGAATCGTAATAATTGAGCTAATATTGGAATAATAAATATTAGCAATTATTAATAATACGTTGCAGCTTTGAAAGTGCCTAAAGACGTCCACTGAAAACTGATGCATCATCAAATTATTTTCTTTTGCTGGTATTTTTAGAATGTTCCTATTATTTCGTTGGTATATTTATTATTTTACTTATTGTTCTCATGCGAACCGCCTACATTTTTTAATTTTGGATTTTAATATACCAAGAAAATAGTAAGTAAGTAAGTACGTACGTATGTTTGTAATGCCTACAAATACGCAATGCATGCGTATCGCGGTACAATTTATTATCATACATTTACGTTTGCAGCTTGCAACGTTTTCGCTAGTAGTGTATGGTTTGTAGTTCTATTTTTACAATTACAAAATGTTCGGTGCATTAAAAAAAATATATCAATTAACCACGTAGTGGAGTAGGTAGCACGTTTCATACCAATTATATACTGTTTATGCTAGCCCATTGAAACATGGTCGATTCTTTATTAAAAGTGTTTAATAAGCATTATTTCTTCAGCTGCTGCAGTATTTTATAGCAGCTGATGTATTTTATCTAACCGTGCAGTTAGAAACAACTGTGCATAAATTGCGATTTAAGGCAACGTTGAACAACATCGGCAAAAGCATTATTAATTACTGCTATTATTATTATGCCTTACAATAATATTTAATTGCAAAAGATCATTAAACATAAGCTTAGTACATATACACTTTTACGTTTGCTATATAACTAGATCTGGCGACCAGTGAAATGGATAGGTGTTTACTTTGTTTGGAAACGAACTTTGAATTTCAGCTAAACATCAAGGTGGATTCAACACAATGGAAAGAACTAGAGGTGGAGAGTGTTATAGAAAAACATTTATGGCCGATAGTAAGTATATAACTATATGGACGAATATAAAATTGGTTTTATTTGAAAATATTTTCGAATCTTAATTTCTACAGAACAATATTGAATCCTACCAATGGATGTGTCATACTTGTTGGAAAGAGTTATATGATTTTGATAAATTCTATACACGCCTAGAAAACGCTCATGCCAATTTGCTTACAGTTAATTCGGAAAATATAAAACTGGAGACATCACATAATGGATCACCCGTACTAGCGGAAATGTTCCACGAAACCAAAGGTATTGACAAAGAAGTTTTATTTGAAGATAGCCTAGAAACGGAAATGTTAATAATAAACCCATCAATACCGACCTGTGAATTAATTATTGAAGAAAATAAATTACCTATTAATGAAACTTTGTCGGACACTGAACCGATTGTGCAAAAGAAGCGTAGAGGTCGACCACGCAAGCAGCAAGATGCGGAAAGCTGTCTACCGAAAACAAGAAAAAAAGTAAAAATATTAAAACGCCAAGGTGTAAAACGAAAGCAAAAAGATAATATTCCTTCCCGCATAACGTCTGGTAAAACTATTGTAGGATCTAATAAGGCTCTTGAGATAAAGCCAGAAATCAAGGAAGAACCAGAACTCTTAATAACAAATACAGAACTTAAACAAAGCGCAAATTTGGTAGATTACTCGTTTAATGATCATTCGAACACCGATTACGATTCTGATTACAATCCTTCAGATACTCAAAATATTATTTCACCTCATGCTAACTGCGAAGAGGTTAAGCGTTCGAATAGCAAACGCTCTCGCTCTCTAAGCTATCGAACAACTAAGCAAAACGAAAGCGACAAATTTATTGCTGAACATTTTAAAATCACGTGCGGTGTATGTCAGGATCCGTTGGAAAATTTTAACGAACTGCAGCGACATTTCAGAAAATGTCATCAAAGGCGTGCTTACGTTTTATGTTGCAAGAAAAAATTATTTAAACGCAGTTATCTCGTTGATCATATACATCAACATCTAGATCCAAATTACTTCAAATGTGACCAATGCGGTAAAGTTATGGGCAATCGACGTTCTTTAGAATTGCATGCGAAAATGCACGAAAGTAATCGGGAGAAAATACACAAATGTCCTGTATGCGGTAAAGCATTCGCTGCTTGGAAAGTTATGCGAACGCACACCTTAATACATATCCCCGAAGAAGAGAGGAAATTTCGCTGTGGTGAGTGCGGAAAAAGGTAAGCTTGTATAGTTTGCATTGTTTGCGCTCAATCCCTACTTTGTGATCGGCGGTAGCACATGTATGCTTTATTAGCATTATGGCTAAGATCGACTATTTGCTTGTTTTTGGAATTTGTAAAACAGCCGAGAAAATTAGATATTTAGAAAATTATTCTTACTTCATTTTGCAAATTAATCTTGAAAATTAACCCGAATAGTTCGTGAGTACTTGAAACAAAAACAAAATAGCTAAAGATATCAAATTGATCGATATCTTTAACATCTTCTCAATTTCCAGTTTTGGTGATCAATATTTACTTAATAATCACATACGAAATGTTCACTTAAATAAGTATGCGAAGGTATGCGATATATGCGGAAAATCTATAAGGAGCAGCGATGTCTTTGAACGTCATATGTTAGAACACACGGGACAACCACCGCCGGAAGTAAGCTGTGACATCTGCGGCCTTAAATTAAGCGGGCCACGTGGCTTGAAACGTCATAAGATGATACAACATCCTGAAGGTGGTAAACAAGAATCAGTTTGCCCAATATGTTCGAAGGTATCACCAAATCCGTTCGCTCTGAAAAGACATATTAAATTTAACCATGAAATGGCTAACAATCATAAATGTACTATTTGCGAAAAGGCTTTCAAACGGCAGACGACATTAATCGTAAGAAATCATAATTATTGTTATAAATTTGTTAAGATAAAATTTCCGAAATTTGCTTTTATTAGGAACATATGACTACACATACTGGCGATGTTCTTTATATTTGTACCTGGTGTCCAAAAACTTTCAACTCTAATGCGAACATGCATGCTCATCGCAAACGTGCGCATCCTAAAGAATGGGCAGAACATCACCGCAAAAAGTATGCAGACAATTTCGCCCTTAATTTCCTGCCATCAGGGCCAAATAGTACGGAAAAGTTGCAAATGCAGGCGTAGTTCGTAAAAACGGCTTTGCTTCAGTTTAATTTAACTAGTGCGTTAGTTTTTTCGATAACGTTATTTTATTAGTTCATTATTACCAATCGTTGTGATAAAGCAAATTTTTTTTAACATTTCACGTCTCCTTTATTAATACTCGGAAAATTTTATTTTTGCCCCCCGGCGGCTTCGTGCCAAATTTTTGGTTTGGCCATGCAGAAGAAAACATTTGGTCGTTAAACATTGTTTCCCGGGGACGAAAATATTCTTTCTAGCGCTATTCCCGCTTGCAACATATTTCTATTTAAACGGAATTTTTCCCTGGTGACAGAAAGCTTTGTATCCAACACGTCACCGTAATCAGGCAATTTTTAAGGAAATGGATAAACATATGACGCATCAAATTACAAATGAAAACGATGTTCTCTGTAATATGTAAAGTGTGTATACATACCTTTTATCTTAAATTAAAATGTACAATAGAGAGTGTGTGTGCACATTTCTTCTTGCTATGTTTTATATTTTGCGATTTTATTCTAAGCTTTTTATGTTCAATAGAAGCAGACATCAGTTTCTCACATTTTAGGATTTTAAACTTAAAAACATAAGAAACACAAGAGAGCTTTGCTACAATATATTTGTCGTACACACTAATACAATTCTGAGAAGTTTGCTAAAAAACGAACTAAAATTTTAGATAAATGTTTGGAGTGGGCTTATAAGCTAATTCATATTGGCTTGATCCAGTTAACAACATCAAAAAAAAGAAACTTTATAGAAATAACGTACACAAACAACAACATATTTAGTGGAAAAAGAGCACATAACTTTACTAAATGCTTGAAAATCAATAGATAATAGAAGAACGAGTTTAGAAGATTGCTAATTTTCTAGCAAGAGGCTGATTTGCTGGTTGAACCAATATTGCATTATTTACTGGACTCGTCTAACCTTCCACCTTCTGCTAACATATAAGCAACGTTTGAAAGGTCACTGTGGGCAAACCATGCCCTGTGAAAAAATGAAACCAGTACAGCGTGAGTCCTCTAGTAATAGCCTTTCCAACGATGTACAGGTTATATTAAGTTTTGCTCGGAGAATTTTTTTTTGGGTCTTAAGAAATTGCTGTTCTTAATATAGGCTAATATGTAAGCAAAGGATAGCAGAAAACTATCTGTTTCCAGTTTCTCGTCATCTTTTGGATTGAATTTTTTTTTGGTTTGTTGAATGGAGATGCACTAAGCCAATACATTTGTGGCTTATATGTCCACACTGTAAACTGTCGTAATTTTTGGTCGAAATATATATAAAACGCGACAAAAAAAGAGCGGCCTTAATAACTGGAGTAAGCATGTTATATGTAATTGTGTGTGTGTGTGTAATTGTGTTTGTTGAGTTCTTGAAAGTTAAACAGTGTTGCAAACTTTGGCTGAAAACGAAAAAGGAATGCTATAGTAATAGAAAGATTGAACACAAAAAGAAAAAAAAATTTTTAAACGATAAATTTGCTTTTCTAATAAAAGCGAGTTAGTTCCCCGAGATGAGGTACATTTTTTGCTGCAAAGAGATCGAGGCGAACATCACATAACTTGAAGATGGTAAGAGAACCTCTAATGCCATCAAGCCTGCGAAATCTGAAGATTATATGCTCAGCAGACTCGATAAGATTGCAAATTTCACAAACATCACATGGTATAGCGCAAATCATTTTTAAATAAACTTTATCATAAGTGTGACAGCCCATGAGTCTATAAAGAATTATGGATTCCCAGGAATTAAAAGAAGCCACAGAAAAGGGTTTGAATCGAAATGTGGATTTATTTTATAGAAAAGGCGTTTGGGAAATTGCAACGAGGAAAGCCTAACTGATTGTTAGTCATGAGTTTATTGATGCTACATCCAAATTGAGTCTCTGAAGGCTTTTTCATAATGCTCATGAAGGGTTACGCTGTCGTTTAAAATTCTACCAAGAAATCGAACAGATTTCACCTGATCAACTTAAGTAACTTTGATAAAGATTTCACGTTTAGAACTTTTGGCAAAATAAAGAGTTTGTTTTGCTGGGGTTAAAATGTAAATTAACATCGACGCATACATCGAAAAAAAATTAGCTCTCATCGATTATTGACAGCCGCTGAAAAAGATGAGTCCGCAAATACAATTAAGAAATCGTTAACACGCGCAATCTCTTTAAATTCGCCATTTAGCTGTTGAAGGATGTAGTTGCGAATTGCTCGAAATGCCTCATTGGGAGTGTATTTGAAGGACAAAATTGTCCCATCAACACGAGCTCTCCCTGCATGAAAGCCGGCTTTAACATTAAAAAAAAAATACAGTGGCCCGGTACCCAAAGAAGATGACAGTCATCCACTTTAGACTCATGTAACATACTATATATATCAAACACATTTTGACTCTCTGCATCTCGTTTACTTATTAGAAGTAGAGCTGACTTGCTATCCGAGAAAATAACAATTCTCTTGATACCATTAGTAATAGCCGCCTTAATAGCATATCTGTAATTCAATAAACCAATATACTTGGATAAAATGTTTAGTACAAAGAGACATATTTGAAGAGAATTTGAAAAGTTTAAAAGAATTTTACCAAGCTTGACACAATCGTACGCTTTGCTGATATCCGGGGAAAGCATAACAACCATTTTACCAGCTTTCTTTAGTCTAACTACGAAAAAAGATAGTTCATGAATGCACGTATTCATAGATTTGCATTTTCGATACCCATAAAGACAAGTTGGAATAATGTGCCCAGTTTTCAAAAAATCCATTAACCGCTCCTTAGCATTGAAATTAATAGTCTTTATCAATAACGAAAGGGATTTGAACTTGCGTAACCCATTTAAATCTTTATCTACTTTAGAAACGGGAACAACTTTGCCATATCGCAAATCTAAGGTTATAAAGTTTATAGACCAGCGGTTATTAATTGCATGCATACGGTGCTCTGACAATGTCACACTTAACTCCTTCACAACCTGCAGCGGTAGCTCTTTTCCTCGAATGTAAATTAATAAAACGAATTGGAAGAACTGTAATCTGACTGACACGTCGAATATAATTGGAATATCTTAGTATCTTCTATCATGTTTGTTCCATACAACACAACCATTTAATTTCTGATGACTATTGATATAATTCCAGAAAAAACGCGAGTTGCCATTGCTTTTTTGCCCTTTCCAGCAGCGGATCTCCCTTTCTTTAGCACTTTCATATGCTCAGTGAAGTTGCCTGAATAGGCACACGTACTCATTTTTTTTCTTGTAACTTGATATTTGGGAAGAAGCGTTGACAGGAAAGAATTCCACCAAAGTTTAGATGAGAAAGACTCAATATCAGAAAAGGTGGTTCTAGCAGACTTAATCTCAGATTGAAAAATATCTCGAATTGATGATAAATTAGGAGGTAGGTCCTAGGAAGGTTTAGATAGACGGTCCATTAGAAATTTGCGTGCAATGAAATTATTTAACTTTTGTACAGAATTGCTGTACCTTTAAAATAAAACGACAGAATGTTGACTTTTGCAAATTGAGACACTAGTCGTAGTCCAGTTCAACTATATATTTGAAAGTTGGCAACCCTTGCAATGAGTACGTTGCGTAAACGCGCCAAAAATTACGTATTTTTTTTCCAAAAGATTTTTTCTTCTTGAAAGTTGCCAGTAGATTTTCGTCACTTCTTCTTACATTTATATCAAATATTTAAGATATCATATCCAATCATTACGTTATAACGATGGCTACTGAGAGCAATTTTTCAAAAGTTAGTAACGCTGTTACGAAAAATTATAAGGGATATGAATCTGTAATGAAAAACGGTTATTGTGAAGAACGAGTCATATCTTTGGACGAATTCTATCGCAAATACCAACGAGAAGAAAAACACATTGAAGAGGAGGCGTTATACGGGACATCCGCAATGGAGTATTTTATGGAAGCCTTCAAAAGTCTTGATGAATATCCTGAGAACATACAGAAGCCGAAAAAATTAGGACCTATAAAAGATCGCCATCACTTTACATCGCTAAAATCTTCAATTTCATTAACAGATGTGTCAAACTCAATTTCTAACATTAGCCAATCACAAAATTTTTTAAGTGTAGCCAAACCGGAAGGATTATCAACGGCTTCGGAAACCTTCAACGATTTTAAAAAATTTCAACAACAATTGAAACAGTTAAATGCCTCGTTACGAGATCGTCAGAATGAAGCAGCGTATGTTGCAAAATTACAACGTCTAAACCAGTTTTCGCAACAACTGTCTAAACTTTACCCTGAAGAAGGGAATATTAAATTAGCCTTAACAGAGAAGCAAGAGAAGAATTTAGATAAATTGCTTGACGAAATTGATAATGCAAACGCTACTCGGACCTGTTGCAATATTCTTAAACAACCTAATTTTAGTACTTCAAAACGTTTGGAGAAACTAACCCAGATCTTATCATTTTGTTTACATTCAGTTAGTGCTTTTGAAAAATTAAATAAATAATTACACCCATCAATTCCTTCATTTAATTTTTTATACTCATATACCACATTACATCCTACATATCGGAATTTACCCCTTCATCTCCTGTGCTATCCTGCGTGGCGAACTATAATATGCATATTTTAATAAAAAGTATAAGAAAAGTAACGCGGCGGACGCATAACACGCAAAATTAAACAAAAAAAAAACTACCCGAATAATCACTTAAATAACTAAATAATAACATATTCCAAATCTAACCCCAACTTTACTAAGGCCCAAGCAAAGAACTCCCTGTTCACTTTGGACTTTTTTTAGACATTCCAGCAGATGTATTGCCTTCGTTTCCAATTTTCCCAATTAGACCAGTTTTCGAGAAAGCCTTATATTCACGTTTAAAATAGTGTCTCGAACATAATGTGTCCTCAGCAATTTTCAATTTGATTTTAGACGTTATAGATCAGCCCAAAAAAACAAAACTGTCACTTTGTTGTCAGCGATGAACTCAACGTTTGCTAAGAACGACATTCTCATTGCTTGCTTTCTAGACACATCTTCAGCGTTTGATTTTTTTTATTGTATCATTACCGCTGTCAATTTTATTTAAACTCCAATCATAATTATCAAATTGACTTTGACATTAATATCAATTGATGAAATTTGTAGCAAAAACTGGAAAATATATATTTTTTTTAGAAATCGTAAGGGAAAAAAATGCAATTTTTTCATGCCTGCTAATTTTGTGCCAATTGACGAAAAAAGCTTTAATAGTTATAAGAATTCTCACAAATTTCAAAATTTTCGTCTATGTTCGACCACGGTGTGACACCAACTTCACGTTAAAATCAGCTTAATACCGTGAGCTTGACATCCTCTCCTCTCGGCCAGCACTAGTATATCATGCCAAAGGTAAAATAATAATAACCCTTTGAATGGGATAAAATATTCCAAGAGCAACCTGCCGCTTGAATGGCAAAAGTGCATGGACGATATGGCCGCATGCTTTGAGGAATAAAAATGATTCTGTCAACAATCAATCAGATCTTCAATTGTATTCCTCTCTATTTGAATCTCCCTACCAAATTCTTTATGACCTCTTTCTCTATAAGACCATGTTAATTAACAACGACGATGTTGTGGTATAAAGAAAATCTTTCGCAGGTCCTCATGAACCTGTATCGCGTCCTCGTTGTTTTAATTTATAGATTAACAAAATTTTCAACTTCTTTCCTGACAACGTCTCAATCCTGGGCTATGCTGACGATCATGCCATTTTTAGATCCAACTCTGATCCAGATTGATGTAGGCGCAATTTGCAATCTGCCCTCCACATTATTTCCTCTCATCTTGAATCACTTCAACTCACACTTTCAGTCAACAAGACCAAACGTTTGGTCTTTTCAAAAAAAAGAGAAACCGCACGATTACTTCTGTCGCTCATCTACGTGTCGTCTATTCCTTCTGTTAAAACTTTCGACTTCTTAGGATTTGTTCTACACTCTAAACTTTCTCCTGTTGCTTACATTGACAAAATTCCTGAACATCTTTTTTAAATGTTCACTTTTGAACAAGCCAAAGAAGCACCTTCTAAAATAATGCGGAATCGAACGCAAAATGCCCTCGTCTGGCTCTTGGTGGCATGAATTCTATATGCAGATAACATTGAGTTTTCCAGGCCATCTTGTTTCAATAATCGTGTTCTTATTTCTCCTAATTTGAGGGCAATCAACAAGAAGCATTCAGTTTTTTCTTGGCAACAGCGATGGAATAATTTACCATATGGTCGTCACTTATACTCTTTATTTCCGCGAACAAAAAAAGTTCCTTGGTTTATCAATTGTGGACGTGACATTTGCCTTATTAATAACTAAAAAAAAAAAAAGTGGCGGACGTATAACACGCAAAATGAAAGAGGCCTTCATCTTATTTCTTTTGTTTTTGGTTTGTTGAGTGGAGATGGACTAAGCCAATACATTTGTGGCTTGTATGTCCAGATAATAAACAGTCGTAATTTTAGATCACGCGACAAAAATATAGCGGCTGTAATAACTAGAGCCGGTATGTTAAGTTTCATTGTGTGTGTGTGTGTGTGTAATCGTACTGGTTGAATTGTTAAAAAACAAACTGTGTTGTAAATTTTGGCTGAAAAAGGAATGCTAAAGTAATAGAAAAACATTGAACGCAAAAAGAAAAAAAAAAATTTAAAACAATAAATTCGTTTTTCTAATAAAGCAAGTTAGGTCCCCGAGACGACGTACATCTTTTGCTGCAAAGAGATCGAGGCGAACATCACATAACTTGAAGAAGCTAAAAGAACCTCTAATGCCATCAAGCCCGCGACATCTGAAGATTATATGCTCAGCAGACTCGATAAGATTGCAAATTTCACAAACATCACATGGTATAGCGCAAATCATTCTTAAATAAACTTTATCATAAGTGTGACAGCTCATGAGTCTATAAAGAATTGTGGATTCCCAGAAATTAAAAGAAGCCACAGAAAAAGGTTTAAATTGAAATGTGGGATCTATTTTATAGAAAAGGCGATTGAATTTAACACGCGCAAGCTCTTTAAATTCGTCATTTAGCTGTTGAAGGATATTTTGGGGAATCGCAACATATGGAATGTGAAAATTCAACTTATGACCTGACTAACGATTTGTACTCAGTGAAAGCTTTCTTGGGAGGCAAGCCTAACTGATTGTTAGTCATGACTGTGATGATGCTACATCCAAATTGAGTCTTCGAAGGCATTTTCATAATGCCATTCTTTTTCAGATTCCATTCTCTTATTTCCTCATTTTTTTCCTTGCAGCTTGGTATTTGCGGAAAAGTGTGGACAGCGAAGAGTTCCACCAAGGTTTACGTGAGAGGGAGTCAATATCAGAAAAGTTGGTTCTAGCAGACTAAAAGGCACTTTGAAATGACGATAAATCGGAAGGAAGATCAACCTTAGACAGGCGGTCCATAAGGAAGTTGCGTGAAATGAAATTTTCTATTTTCTTAACGGAATTGTTGCGACTATGAAATAATCGAATTTCCATACCTCTTTTTGAATTATTAGCAATTTCATGTTTTCCAACCGAATTTGCATACCTCTCTTTGATTTCATATCTTTTTCATTCCAATTTCCATACCTCTGTGCTGTAATAAGAAATTTTTTAATCGTTGTTACCTGATAGATCACATGCGATCATTTCACGTGTGACATTTGCGGCCCAGTCTTGGCTGATCAACGGTATATGGAAGTTCATTATAAATTACACTAATGTAAAAGAAAGAATTCATAAATGCGACACTTGCGTAAAATACTTTAGCTCGGCGACAGCACTAAAATCGCATTCGATTACCCATCTTTCAAAGGATCAACAGCAGTTTGTGTGCACAGAGGGAGGGAAAAGGTAAAAAGGTACTTATAGTCAATATATAAGTTATAACTACAGGGTTTTTTTTACAGTCACGGCGACAAAAATCGTTTAACAGACCATTTTCGAAAAGTTTATCGGAGCAAGGAGCGTGATATTTGTGATATTTGTGGATGATGTATTAGTAATCGTGATCTATTTGAGCGGTACATGCAAGTTATTTGCCATCTTGGTGACCGACCGTCAGACCGGCCTTAAGCATCACTAACCTATGCATCACAAAAAGCGTGCAGCGCAAGAACAAACATGTCCAACATATTCGGAAGTGTCACCAATTTTGCAATCCCATGAACGGCTTAGTAAATATATACTGGCCTGCACACTTAAATGTAACATATGTGAAAACGCCTTTAAAAGATCAAAGGCGTTCAAGGTAAATATATGTTATGATACGATGAGAGATAATACGCGGTTTTGTAAATACGTAATACGGCGTTCTTTGTGCTTGCTTGAATTGTGACAAACTTATCATATATAAATACATAGTAGACCTTAGGTGGGGTAAAGCCCACAATGGCTTATAATCTGCTCGTTCGGTAAGTGCAGTTCGTCCGTCCGTTTATTCCTTGGGGTGTAGCACAAGTAGTTCTTTTAGCTGTAATCCTCTGTGGGTTGTTGATAAGACCAAACTTCAAGACCCTCCATATCTCACGACACGTGCGTTCATCTCTGCATTCTTCAATCCTCTTAAAGTGGCACTTAAATGTGGCCCTACATTTAATCGAGTACATAGCTCTGTATTTAGGCAGACTGTGAAGATTTACAGACATTTAATGCTACATAAAAGAGGCGACGTTATAACAAAGAGCGAATTTTCGATCAGGTGTAGGTAAATAAAAATATTATATTTTTTTCTTTTTTCATTAACACTCTTGCCAAACTTAACGAGATAGTCGAAATCACCAAACATCTAAATTTACTTTGAATGTAGCAAAACGGTAATGCCGGCTATTGTTTGGACGTACTAAGCACATGGGCTCCTTTAGATGACATTTCTGACAAAGTTTAAGCAAACTTTTTAGTCCCTCTGCCGTTACGTATCCTATACCACCTACTGTACCTTCGCTTAGGCAGAAATTCACAGAGGTAAGATAACCAAAAACGTCTCGACATCCTTGCTTACGTACGGTATATAATGTGGAAGTATCTTCAGGAAGCCACAATTCGCACATTTTCTTAAATTGTGCAGCACAAATTGCAGCCGTCCCAGCAGAACGTATGTATACCTTGGTATTGCTTGTCTCCTGTGCATGCAAAAGTAGAGATAGTTAGTTATGGATTCAATTGCTATTAATTTTTTCAAACCTGTTTTTTACGCTTCTCTCTAATCCTTCGAGCTCTTAAACGCTTTAATAGCTTTTTATGTTGCAATCGAAATTTCTTGCGTTCCTTTTCATTGGGGTCCGACAACAAAGGCTCTGTGAAGACGGGGTCATTACTACGTAAATAGATGTGTTTTAAGTTGCGTTTAAAATCGTTTCTTATAGGCAAACAAATTAAAGAAAAATTGTTTGGACTTCCTCGACGTTTCACGCTTAATCTTAATTGAATTAGGCATTCCGATTTTAGGCTTGACGGAAATTTCACCGGATTTGATCTTTTAATACATTCAACAATATCTTTGAGCTTAGAACGATCTCGTAAGACGTAGAAGTCGTTCACATTGGTGGTATCCGATTTCCAATCACGCACTAACTCTGAGAAAGGTGCACGAAATGGAGACAGAATGGATAATTTTCGATAGCTGACGCGTTTGTTGGGTGGCAAACGAAAATATTTATCACGCAACTCTACGTACCGTTCGGCAGCCATTCGCCTACCTGGAATAATGAAGAAAATTAATCCTTGCAATTTATATTGTATATAGCCTTTATATACTTGCCACTAATAGTATCCGGTGAATGTTGTTCAATGCCCATTTCTCGGCCTATTGTTTCGAACTCTCTTAATCCTCCTGGTCGAGCACCCCACATGATACAAGACAACCATATATGTAAACCATAACCAGCTGGGGCAATAACATCCCAGCCACAACCATAACCAAGACGTACGAAGTTACTACGCTGGGAACCTGGGCGTTGAATCAATAAAACAGGAATAGGTTGCAATGCATCCTCAAATTGGCAGGGTTGCCCCGGAACAATAGCTTGCTTTTCCCTTAACCCATAATAGGAATGAGATGTTACCATTTCATTGGATACACGATCCCGTATGCATTGTTCCCATAAAGAAGATTCACTTAGAGCAGAAGGCATATCGACTAAGAGTTCTTCAAGATCTTCGTTATAATCGGATTTTGTTTTACTGATGGCTTTGGTACGCTTTTTTGGGCGATGCAGACGAGGATCTTCAATACACAACGCCAACACCATGTTAGATAATAATTGTGATGGAGACGTTAAAAGTTTCTGGCATTTTTCCCAATATTGCTGTTGCTGCTTGTAAGTATCAAGAAATGTTTGTTCTCCTAACAAATCTCCGACCCACGTTTTCTTCGCATTTATTAAACGATCGAAATCTTTCACTTTAAAAGCATGGCTTAAAACCCTTTGAGCTAGAGGTCCCGTCAAACGAAAACGATTTATCGTGCCGCTCAATTCCCTTAATTCGATTGTTGCAAGATTGTTTTTATAGGTAGGAATATTTTGCCTGACCGTAAATTTAGTCATGAATTTCAACCGTCTCTGAATTTTCGCAGACATCTTTGAAGAGCCGTCAATTTTTGGATTCTCATCCTCAATGCCTAAAGGAATTTTCGTAATTTTTGCGGATTTTAGTTCAAATACTTTAATAAGTTCTTCTACTATGCAATGGGAGGAACTGGGATGCATCCATAACCACAATACTCTGTTCAAGTTTTGCTCTTGTTTTTGACCTTGCGTTAATGGACGCCACAAAAAGTTAACCCTACCTAGAGCTTTAAAAGGATATTCTTTGTATTTAAATAAATCAACGCTACCTTCCCTACGACCATTCACAAATGTGCTCGCTGTTATTCTTAAACCGATGTGTTGGCTAGTTAAGTGCTCAAAACCTTTTTCCAAGTCTTCAAGGAGACCTCTCATTTCAATGCAAGCATAAAAAGAGATGTCTTGCAATAAGCAGTGCTCTGCTGAAGCCCTGTAACATGCACGAAACGTTTTATCGCAACTACCATAAGGTAACCGATATCCCCATCTTTCGATCATATGAAAGCGTTTCGCATGCCATATATGAGTTTCCAGCCATTTGTGCTTACGTTGACGCCGCAAATAATCTGCCAATAGATTTCGCGGTCTTCTTCGATATTTACGCGACGGCCTATTAACTTGCTGCGGTCTTCCAGATTTCGACATTTGTGCAATATGAGCCGTTCTGTATTTCCTCGGTAACCGTTTGGGATGGTGAGACATTGCTCGTCTTCTCATACGCTTCGGTAGCGTTTGAAATACTAATTTATTGGAAGTAGGATGCTGGACGCTTTTCACCAAATCTATCATTTCTTTAAGAACAGATGCGGCATATTGGAAAGTTGGCATGTGGGAACCTACTAAACTGGTGTCATATTCCATTTTTTTAGTCACCATTTCACACTTCGATATCAAAAAAAGTTTTTTTTTTTTGCGATATTAAGCTAAGACGAACCAAGCCAATAAATTTGTGACTTATATGTGCAGATAATAAACAGTCGTAGTTATGGGTAAAAATTATATATAAAACACAATAAAGAAAAGCGGCCATAACAGCTAAAGCCGATATGTTAAGTGCAACTGTACATGTGTATGTAATTGTCGAATGTTGAGTTGTTCAAAGTCACGTGAAAAAAAACAGTGTTGCAAACTTTGGCTAGGGAATGTTATAGCAATAAAAAATGATTGAACGCAAAAATTTTTTGCTGAAAAGAGATCGAAAAGACTCTTACATAACTCGAAGAAACTAAAAGAACCTCTTATACATGCTCAGTAGACTTGATAATATTGCAAACTTCGCAAATGTCATATGGTATAGCACGAATCATTCTTAGATATGCTTTATCATAAGTATGACCGTTCGTAAGTATATAAAGAATTTTGATTTCCCGGAAATTAAAGAAAGCTCCTGAAAGCTGTTTGAATTGAAATGTTTAATTTATTTCATACAAAAGGCGATTGGACTTAACACGCGCAATTTCTTTAAATTCATCATTTAGTTGTTGAAAGATGTCGTTGCAAATTGCCCGTATTGTTTTGTTGAGAGGGACAAGATTGTCCCATAAACACGAGCTTTTTTTGGATGAAAGTCGGTTTTTCTATTTAAAAAAAAGCCGCAGTGACCAAGAACCCAAACAGGGTGGTAGTCACCCACTTGAGATTCATGTAACATCCTGTGTATATCAAACACTTACTGTTTTTTCCCCTTTCTTTCATTTTTTAGAAATAGGGCTGACTTGCCATCCGAAAAAATAACAATTCTCTTGATACCATTAGTAATAGTCACCTTAATAGCAAAAGTCGAGGATAATTCCTCCAAGAAACTAGATACATTATGTCTGACGGAATCGTCAGTATATCATAGGCGTTGTTATAATAAAGAACTAGCTTAGCATACGATCCTCAAACATGAGAAATTGACGTTTTGGTTTGAGGTAAAAATCGATTCAAGAAAGTTCGTGAAGAGTCTATAATTGTTGGTAAAAAAGTTTAGAGGGAATTTAATTTATCCCGTCAAAAATATAACGCAGTTTTTGATAACAAAATTTGCAACGGCCAGAGAGAGAATCACTGAGAGATAATCACTTTCTAAAAAAAGGAAGGATTCCTTATTTTGACGTTAAGTAACACGAACGAGCTCTTGCGGAAACGGACCACCACCAGAAATGACATTGAGAATATTTTGGGGGTTTTAGGGGTCGGTCCAGTACAATGTTTTAACATTCTATTTCCAAATGTTTGTATACGGTTCTCAATATATTTTGGAAAATTACAAAATTACTTAAAATGTATTATAAAGAAGCAAAAAAATAAATAAAATTAAATATAAGATCAATTAAGAAACAGGCACATATATAGATGAATGAATATGTGCTTATGGTTAATATTTACAAATATTTACGGCAAAATATTAAACGAACGCGCCGCGCATTTACTTACTCCCTCAAGTTATGAAATTCGAAGTTCGCTCATTCACTTATTCTCTCAAGTTGTTAAATTCGAAGTTCGCTCATTTACTTAGTCCCTCAAGTTGTGAAATTCGAAGTTCGCATACGGGTAATTATCAGAGGAAATATTCGAACATTAATGGACCTCGACAAAAAAACTGCGAAAATGATTGATTAATGATAAAAAAAATTAAGAAAAATGACTTTAAAAGGAGCAGGGAGAAGAAATTCACTCACTCAATAAAACAAAGCAAAAGAATTACTTTAACATTTGGACTTGACAAATACGTTTAATATTGTAGATAAATCCCTTTTATTGCTTGCTTTTCATTCCTTATAAATTAATATAGAGTGTAAAGCAAAGTTTTAAACCGTACAACATCAAAAGAACGTAAGAACGTACAAAATAAACATAAATTAAGCAAACAATTTGTCTCGTATAATTTGTCAATGTCCAGAGTATCTCTGAAAAGTTCGACAAAATTGAAGTCACATCCCGAAAATAAAAATAACGCATTATTATGCCTAAGCACTTATACATACTCTATCTGATATCAATCAGATAAATAGCTTTTATTTTTGTCAATTGCTTATTATTGCCAGTTTTTTAAAAAAGCTGTGTTTCCTAAGAAAAATGAAACGAAATCGCTGAAGCTCGTAAGCAGCTTAAATTGAAAAAATTGCTTATATAATTAGCAATAGTAACCCATGTTTGACGAAAAACGAAGACTTAAATTTGTTTACAAGATTACAAATAGCTCACAAATAGTTTCTTAGTTCTAGTGATTCTTCAAAAGTGTTTGTACTACACTTGTTTAACTTCGAACCGACATCAAAAAAATAATCACTTTGTTTGTTGGGATATCGTTAACGTGTATTGGTAAATTTTTCTAATGGGCTTGCAACCAAAAAAGTATAGCGTGCAACCAAAAAGTATAGATTGCGACCCAAAAAGTATAGCGTGCAACCAAAAAGTATAGCGTGCAACCAAAAAAAAATAGACTCCAACCAAAAAGTATAGATTGCAAACAAAAAGTATAGCGTGCAACCAAAAAGTATAGATTGCGACCCAAAAAGTCTATTTTGCTTAAATCATGATTGTTTTAATATAACCAATTATAGAAATGGAGAAAGTCTAAAGAAACTCAGGCAAGACGCTGTGTTGCCATATTCGTAAAACTTTAGCTCTAATATGTGCTGATATCCCAATTCTATTTACTTTTAGAGCTTTTCTAAACTAACAAGTGGACAATCGGTTACAATGCATCCCTTTTGGCCGAACACACAACAACAACACAATTATCAAAAAGCAGGATTAACAAGTTGCAAAATAAATGCAAAAACCTTTCTACGCTTGCAAAAGTAGGAATGTTTGTTCATTAGCGCCGCTATTATCATCTGATAGCTTTGATATTTTTTTAATATTTTGTGGCTTGTTTTGACCAATGTAAAGATCGAATTATTCTAAAAATCGAAGAATTTTTTAAAATATAATTGGTCTTCTTATGAGTGGCTTAATAAATGATAGTTAAGCAGTCAAGTGTATAATAAAGATGTTTTGTATTTTGTGCTTAGAAAAAGCGAATTCCTCAATACCGGGTGAGAAGTTTATTGATATATTTTCGGAAGAAGGTTTGCGTTTGAATATAAGCAGTATTATAGATAAACATTTCTGGTTAAAGGTACACTAAATTGTAATACACAAGTCATTGGAGAGAAAAATTTAATTTTCATATAATTTCTTATTCTCAGCCTAAAAGGAATTGTGCATCCATTCAGCAGGTATGCAGGAATTGTTGGAATGTTATAAGAGATTTTCATGCTCTGTATGTGCGGGTAGTAGAAGCTCATCACCAATTGGAATCGAAAACCGTGATTGTCGACGATCTGTTACCTCATGAGTTGAAACTGAAATCTGAGCGAATTTCTTGTACTGATGAAACAATTAAATTGGCAAATAATTTAGCCGAAAACATCTTTGATACGGAGGTTAAGGTTGAAGTTAATGATTTAGACCTACTTCCACAAATCGAAATAATAGAAGAAATTCCAAACCTAAGTGAGCGATCTCTGCGCGCTTCAAGACGGAATCGTCAGCAAATGCATGACATATTATCAGATAAAGAAACGTGTAATAAACGTATTAAACGCGAGTTGTCTATTGAACTTAATATTGAGCCCAGCCACGATATATTTGCCGACACGGATCTTCCTGCAACAGAATCTGCAAAGACTGATAACGACAGTGTAATTAATAATTCCTTAAATGTTATTGTAGACGATAATGTACAAAACACAAATGTTATGGTAAAAAAGCGAGGTAGGCCTCGTAAAACCGAGGCAGACAAAGCAAAAGTTAAATTGTCTGTTACGGCTACTAAGGGTAATACAAAAAAATCGCAACTACTAGAAGAAAAGAATATTAAAAACGAGCTATTGGATACTTTCTTGGAAGAAGATCAGACGTCAATCCCAATTCCACTAGAGGAAAATGTTAAATTGGAGCAAAAGCATGAACAAGAAGATAAAGATTATCTTAAGAACAATCTCGTTTGCAATGACGACTATGAGAATTTTGTGAATGACGTCGACTCTGAGGACTCTTCCCAATCGACGAGTGATACGGACGATGACACAGATGCCAGTTGGCCGGAGGAGAAACCTAATGACAAATATGCCATAATCTATCGAAAAATAGCTGTAAAACCTAAAAAATATCGTAAACATCCTAAACCGTTAGTGCCTCCAAAGCGTATGACCCGCGAAGAGATCGAAGCCCGTAATGCTCAACAAGCTGAGTACGATACCGTTATTGCTAAATTTTACGATAACATGCGATGTCCGAAATGTCAACTTCTCGTACGTTGTTTTGGCGATATGCGAGCTCATTTTCGCATCTCGCATAACGATGATCATGGCTTCGTGGAATGTTGTGGTAGAAGATTTATTACCCGTAAAACACTTGCAGAACATGTGTATGTGCATTGGAATCCCGATCATTTCAAATGTAGCAGCTGCAATAAAACGTGCCTAGACTCGAAGCAATTGGAAACACATGAGAACACACATCTACCCAATCCGCGTCCATCCAAATATAAGAAAACATTTCAATGCGACAAGTGCCCGAAAACCTTCTCTTCAAAAGCATCATTCGAACACCATTCCTTCGCAAAGCATGTACCGAAAGAGGAATTCAAATTCGAATGCCCGGAATGCAAGAAAAAGTAAGTACCATATCACACCATAAGAAAAAAACTTGCCATTAAATTTTGTCTGTTCATCAATTTGAAACCTGTTGAAAAAGAATAAGTTATTCATACAATTATTTTAAAGTGGAATAATGTTTGTGCTTTGTGTTGGTGTGGAAGTTAGAAAATTGAATAGTTATGAAAAAAAAAGAAAACACATACATATACCACATTGGATGCTTGAATGTTTTGTAAGTTTTTAAATTATTTAAAAGAAATTTATGACCATATTCCATGGTTTGTCCCTTCTTTTCCAGATTACCGACCGATCGTAAATTGAAGGAACATTTGAAATACTCACATGATCCACAAAGTTCAGTTATATGTGATAAATGTGGCAAAACACTAAAGAGTGGATACAGTCTTAAAAAGCATAATGAAATAGAACATTCGGACAAACCGAAGCCACCACCCGAGCCCCAACAATGCGAAATATGTGGCACTTGGCTGCGCCATTTATCCGGACTTAAGCAGCATATGAAGAGTTTACATGAAGATACTAACATTGAACACCGCTGTCATATATGCAATAAAACCTCTTCCACAGCCAGAGCTCTTCGAAGACATATCTATCATAATCACGAATGTGCCAGAAAATTCAAATGTACCCTTTGTGAGAAGGCATTTAAAAGGGCTCAAGATTTAAGAGTAAGTTTTTCTCAATTCCAATTTCATGTCAGCAATCTT